TACAGAATCTTGTGTTTAGGCTTATTGGAAAGGTTATTTACTCTTGTTTCATTAAAATGTTAATTGTTGAGCGTTCAATAAATGCTTATCTAGTAAAGCGATAAAATGTAAAAACTGTATTTCATATTTTTTCCATTCTTAATTACAGGAATACCATAAAAACCAGAAACTTGTAACTTTGACGATGAATTACAGATAAACTATAAGAGACACAAACTTATAATTAGGTTCATTGAAAAGCCTAAATATTTATCTTTAATTTGTGTATTCATTTATGTTTGTGTGATTTGCGGTTCTTGAGTAAAACGATAAAATGTGAAGACAACATTGAATAATTACATTTTCATTAATTACATTTATGATTTTTTTTGTATCCAAATAAATTAAAATGCAAATTCGTCCGTAAATAAACTGCTAATTTGTATTGACAATTGATTTTGTACAATTAATCCAAGTTTTTTTTTTAATAAAACTTCAATATTTGTTTCTAATTAATACGGGTTCAATTTAATTAAGAAAAATCGTTCTTTTTTTCTGTGATTTATAATCTGTTTGCATTTGCGATGAAATGAAAGTGAGAGATGAATGTAATAGTAGACTTATTAGAAAGCTTATTTATTTATCTTTAATTACAGTATTCACTCATATCTATATATGTGGTTACTGAGTAAAACAATAAAACTTTGACGTTTGATAAAAATATTTTTATGATCTTTGACTGCTAATTACAGCAAAACCATAAAATACAAAATCTTGTGTTTAGGCTTATTGGAAAGGTTATTTACTCTTCTTTCATTAAAATGTTAATTGTTAAGCGTTCAATAAGTGGTTATCTAGTAAAACGATAAAATGTAAAAACTGTATTTCATATTTTTTCCATTCTTAATTACAAGAATACCATAAACACCAGAAACTTGTAACTTTGACGATGAATTACAGATAAATTATAAGAGACACAAACTTATAATTAGGTTCATTAAAAAGCCTAAATATTTATCTTTAATTAGTATATTCATTTATGTTTGTGTGATTTGTGGTTCTTGAGTAAAACGATAAAATGTGAAGACATTGAATAATTACATTTTCATTAATTAAATTTACGATTTTTTTGTATCCAAATAAATTAAAATGCAAATTCGTCCGTGAATAAACTGCTAATTTGTATTGACAATTGATTTTGTACAATTAATCCAAGTTTTTTTTTAAATAAAAGTTCAATATTTGTTTCTAATTAATACGGGTTCAATTTAATAAAATCGTTCTTTTTTTTGTGATTTATAATCTGTTTGCATTTGCGATGAAATGAAAATGAGAGATGAGGGAAAAGCGATGGAAAGAATATGATCCCACGTACGTCGACTTGAGCACGCAGCGAATATATACGTGATTTTCCGCGAGTTTTCCGAAGCGCCGATTCATTATTTTCCTCTCGCGAATTTCAAGAGCGATACATAAAGAAAATTATATAAATAAAACAAAAACAAACACTATATAGAACGCGTCAATATTGTTCTTTGCGGTGGTGAAAGGAAAAGCTGTAGGAAATAAACAGTGTGTAGTGTAGGTGCGGAAACAAAACTCCGTTCCGCAACAATTAAAGCTAATTTGCATGTATCGATTTCAACTTCACAGAGAGTTTCGTGTGTACGTCGTTGCTGCTGCTACCACTACTTTCCTCGCTCGCTCAATTTTCCCTACGACCCTACTTTCCGCAGTCCTCTGTCGCCTTTTCCAACCTTCTCTCTCTCCTCGACAAAGCCTTTGGTTAATACATATTTACATATGAATCCCGACGACTCGAAACAATGCAACCAACAACATTTCCACTTCACCTCTCGCATTTCCCAAAGGGCTCATGAAATCCCGCAAAGGGCACTCGAAATATACTTAAACAAAACAAAAAAAAAACGATTGTAGTTTCGAAACATTTACTATTGATCAGTCGATCAGACCTCAATGAATATTTATAAGGCAATTCGGGATTCAATTTGGACGAAGAGCTTCAACTCTCACAACACGACGAAACGTAAAAAAACACACACACACTCGATTTCAAAAATAGGAATTCAATTAAACACACAAAGGCTTAGAGCAACGCTAATTTGAAATCCTGCATTTGTTCGTTTGTTTCAGAGCCTCCTATAAACATCATCAGATTAGTTGTAAAAAGAACTTTTTGGTTTCTAACTTACGTTTGAATTCAGGTGAGTTTTCTTTCATATTTTATTGTTTTGTAAGTAATGCTGCATTTAACAAAAGTTACGTTTTTTTTCAATGTCTTAACGTTTTATTGAATTACTCGACTTAAGTAATAGACAATTAGATCATCGAATACTCAAATTGAAGCTGAAACTCTTGCCTTTCCAACGAGCCTACTGATAGCTTTCTGTTAATATTCGTTCATCTGTTATGAAGTGTTAAACGTGTCGTTGTTGAAAATGCTCTAAGGCATAATCAAGTAGCATTGGGCAACTCTTTATGTAACGAATGTTGCGCTTTGAAGAGTTATTTAACGTTTTATTTCTTGATTACTAGAAACTTACGCAACTTTTATGAATTTTTATTGTTGCATAAGGAGGGCGTCACCGATTCTTAATTTATTATGCAACAAAAGTTGCCCAAGAAACGATGATTTACGATGTATTCATTTGTAAATTACTCGACAATCCTCTAACATAATTAGATCTTCGAATACTTAAATTAAAGCTAGAAGATTCACATTTCTAACAAGCCCATTTCCAGTTTTCTACTCTTATCCATTCATCTTCTACGAGCTGTCAAAAGTGTCATTCCAACCTCTTCACGTTTTCATAAATTTCAGGATAACCACGTAATATAATTACATAATTCAACAAAGAATCGTAAACTATAGACAGACATCTTTCAAATGAACCCTATGAAACGATTCTAGCATCAATTTTGATGGTGCCTGAAAATTACTGAAATTTCCTGAAACTTTTGAATACTACCTAAATAAACCAATTCGATATTATTACGTTCCATAATGTTCACAAATCAATAAATTGTCATTTTTCTACTCTACATAAAAAAAAACTCATGTATTATTTGTGAATTTGTCGGAAAGTTTTACGAGTTTGCTTATGATCATGTAATCGGAATCGACGTTTCTCTTTTTTTTTGTTGTAATTTTGTTTTTCGTTGTTTATTATTATACACTAGACTACTAGAAAAAGACAAGTGCAGATCCATAAGTCATACTTTATTCAAGATACACGCGTTTCCACGCTACATATAAATAACGACTGTCTCGCCGAATTATATTTATGGTGAGTTTCGGATGTCCACAAAGTATTTTAGAAACTGGAATCTGCCGTTTCACACTTTGCTTCGTGTTTCTCTTCTGTATCGAGTTTCAAATAGTCGTGGATGCGGCGGATCATAGCGAAAATCTAAGCTTTTTTATTAAATTGAAAGTTTCAGTTTTCGTTGAAATTGGATATTGTATGTTACGTAAACTTTCAATGTATCAATTATCAGTGGATGCGCCGGGTCATCAACATTATTTCAACGCTTATTTTCAACTAGACCTCGCATAGTGCGGATGCAAATAAGTTTAAACATAAAGCACAATTTCTTTTAATATTTTAGAAAGCATTGAACTTCGTGAACGGAATAAATTCACCAACATTTTTCGTAAGAAATATTGCTTTTTTTTTCCTCTCTCTCTCCTTCTCTTCATTTCCGTATTCCTTCCGACCAACTCACGCCATTGTGTCCCACGTTTATTAAAGTTGCATTCCCTTTTCCCTCTCTCTTCATCTCCACAAGTGAAATATGCTTTGTAAACACAGCAAAAAAAAGAAAGAAAGAAAAATTACAAATTCCTTTCCGCATTCTGAATATCAACAAAAATTAACTTTGTAATTAATCACATCTTGATAATTGTCATATCTAAATATTTTTTTGTGTTTTATTTACGAAGTTCTTTGAAATAGGACAAAGTATAATTCCTTGAGGAATCCCCACTTAATAAATTCGATAAAACAAAAGTAGATGGGTGTATATATCGTCCATTGATATTTGAAACAGTTCAACGAAGCAAATCAAAGTGTGCTGTGGACAATAGTTGATAGTGAAACAATGATGATACAACAAAAATTGAAAAAAGAAACAAATGAAATAACGATGTTTATATAAATCACACATAATGTATACACTTGTTTTTTTTTTAATTAATATCAACAAAAATTACCTTTTTTTGTTTTTTTTTACGAAGTTCTTTGAAATAGGACAAAGTGTAATTCCTTGAGGAATCCCCACTTCAAAATCACATATTCTGTTTTGTGTTTTTGATAAAACAAAAGTATATATCTTCCATTGATATTTGACAGTTCAACGAAGCAAATCAAAGTGTGCTGTGGACAATAGTTGATAGCGAAACAACGATGATTCAACAAAAATTGAAAAAAGAAACAAATGAAATAATCACACATACTGTGTATACATTACGTGTTTTTTATTTTGTTTTCTAAAACAAAACACTTCGCTTCTCTTCTGTTGTTATTTTTGCTCAGGTATTGTTATTTTTGGCTAAGAATGTGAGAATTCCTCACGATGCGTTCCATTCCCGTCGCGTTTCGTACTTTGAGAGGATGCGCTCGGATTGTATTGGATCAAAATAACGGAAAGCTGAAAGAACTTTGGAGATGCGAAGAGAGCGGATTTGGCTCGGGTCGCGCATCTTCTCTAGATATTTATATAAATAGGATAAAAGTGTGTAAAAATAAAGAGACGCGACGCGAAAAAATAGAAAGGTGGAAGGTAAAAATAAGAGAGGTGGTGAAGACAAATGTGATCAAGAGGTCATCCATCAGAGAGAGAAGTGGAGGAGTTTCTCTGCCAAATCTCGAGGAAAAAAACCAATAATTTATTGGCTAATTATGTTGTGTTATTTTCGGATTTGAAATATTTATTTGCGGGCGAAGATTTTTCAAAAAAAAAAAAAGTTATAATTCTCTTGTTTTTTTAGTTTTGTTTCATTCTTTTGTGATCTTCATTTTTATTCCCGCTTCACCAAATTGGAGCAGACGCAGAAATGTCTTTGATCTTGCTTCCAGGTACATTTCTCATAGACTGAAAAGCTTACGTTATTTTTTTTTTGCGATGTATTCGTTTCACCGAAGTGTATACAATTTTAATCAAGTCCGACGTTTCATGTAAATATAAATAATTGATAGAGAAAAAACGTAAAAAAATCTTGCATAAAATAGTTGGCTATGGATTATATAAGATGCTTTTGTTATGAATGAAAACAATTTGAGTTTTCTTATTTTAAAATATTTAAAAGTAATCTTGTATTTTATTGTGTAACTCGATAACCGCGTTGAGTTCATAAGTGTTTAAGCAATCAAATTAAAGCAAAAACAATACACTAACTAAATGATATAAATTTATTTTTGTAATTTCAATGAAGGTCCTATAATTAATTATTAAAAATTAATAATCAAACAAAATTATGTTTTTACATATTCTCTTATAATTCGATAACTAAGAAGAGCACGTGTATACTTGAATAATCAAATTAAAGCTAAAACTATAAGCTATAAAACGCAATTAAATATTTTGTAATTACAATATTAATTTAACTACAATCAGCTGTTAAATTCGAATACACGTAAGTGTTTACATATTGTCCCATAACTCGATAAATACAATGAGCACTTAGATAATTCGATAATCAAAATAAAGCTAAAACTATGAGCTATAAAACATATTTAAATTCATCTTTATGATATTCATGGTTTTTCTGTAAATAATAAACGAAATCTGAACAACATGTTTCGAACTATCGACAAAATACTGTTTAACGTATAACTCAATAATCACGATGAACACGTATATCATTGTATAATCCAATTAAAGCTTCAACAATGAGCTGTGAAATGTGTGCGGAATGATATTTGTGATGTTCGTGGTTTTTTTCCTGTCAAATTTTGAGCAACGAATTTGCAACATCCACAATAAAAAAAGAGCAATGATTCCACGCATAACTTGATAAATGCGATGAGCACATAGATGATGGAATAATCCAATTAAAGCCGAAACTATAGGCCATGAAACGTGTATAGTGGCGTATTCGTGGTTTTCCTGAAATCAACTGAAAAATGAATTTTGATTTTTTTTGTGCTTTTTTAAAATATTGTTGTATAACTCGATTATCGTAATAGACACTTAGGTCGTTGAATAACCTAATTAAAGCTTAAAGTATAGGCTTTAACATATGGGTAGAGTCGTCTTTGTAACTTGCGTGGTTCTCTTGTAATCAGTTGTTAAAATTGAAAAAGTTGGAAGATTTGTGTGTGTTTACATTTTGTTGTTTAACTCGAGAATGATGATGAGCACATAGATGATTGAATAATCCAATTGAAGCTAAAACTATAGTCTAGAAAACTTGTCAATTTTATCATTTGTCAAAGTCCAAATTAACAAATTTTTAATCTTCTAAAAAGCAATAAGATTTTGTCATATAAAAAGCAATGTTATTATTTAGTGGTCTAGAGTTCAACAATTTTCAACTTTTCTATTATAAACTTCATGTATATTTGAGCAGTTTGAAGCAGTTTCCATGTTGAGTTGAGCATTACCTGAAACCGAAAATTGTGTTGCAGGATATGAAATAATGATGACCGTTGAGCATCAGGGACGGCAGGACATGAGGCATGTTCCAACCACTCCGGAGGAGCTGAAGCGCAGAGCGATAATACAGAAGAACGATCTGATCCTGCATGAAGCAGTCATCAAGAACGAGACGGATGTAGTACGAATGATTCTCAAAGAACCAATAGATATAAACAGCAGGAACAACGTGAGTACTACAACCTAGTTTTAAACTCACTATCGATTTTTTTTGCACTTTAAACTTTTTCCCCTCATCTTGAAGATCTTTCAGTGTGGATGCTCTTTATGCGTCACGCTAATAAAGTTAACAGTCTTCTCCTTTCGCAGAGGCTTTCAGCGGAGAGTTATGCATTAGTTAAGATTTGAGCGCTCCGGGGAATCCGTCAAAAGGATGAGGAGACTAGGAGACTACTTCCTTCCTCTTCCGCGGTTTCACGTGCGATGAATTATTAGCAATCAATTTTGGAACGGAAGCACACGCGTTTCCACTCTCATCACAATATCATTAATGTTTCAATGATCCGACATTATGCAAGAAGAGCAGCTTGCAAAACACTGTAATCATTAATTAACCTTACACTTTTTGACACGAAAAACGTCATATTAACTGTCAACGTTAAATATGTCAATGTCAAATGTATCAATGACATTAGATTTCATTGTTTTAACTGTCAATTTAAACGTCAATTAACATTGACTCTTATTACAATATCATTAATATTTCAATGATACAAGAATTATGAAATAACCTCACATTTTTCCATGAAAAATGTCACATTAACTTTAACTATCATTGTCAACGTCAAATGTGACAATGACATTTGACACATTGTTAAATGTTTTAATGTCAATTTTTAATTTTGTTTCCATGGTGATTTATAGAACAATTACTTAACTAACGCGTTGTTAACGTAACAATAAAGTAGAAATATTACAAATAGTGAACAAAAAAACGTAGGATTTGTATAAAATTATTACGTGTCCACATGGAAATCTCTACAGCATTAACACAGATTTTCATTTCACCGTTTTTTTCCTCCTCTACTTTATATCTTCTAATCTCATTTCCAGCGAATTCACCGTTGCGTGGGTAACTCAAATCCCCCGGAAACTCTGTATGCGTTTAGCCATAGATACGCTCATGTTAGTGGAGATTTGAGAGCCTAAAGCGAATACAATTTTCACACAAAAAGAAGAAACGGGCGCATTTTATGAATTCCGGACAAATAGAGATATTATTTCATCGTCCTAGCATTTCCTCACTCATCCGCACACGGAATACTAACGAATCTCTTCCTCTTCCCAAACTGTAAAGATTTTCCTTGATCTTGTTTGTCTCCAAACTCGTTTTTGGAGGCGAATCACGAAATTTATCAAAAAGTTTATCGAGTATTCTATTTGTAAATTTGCGCAGTGGAAATGTATTTATGTGACTGAACAAAACTGTTTGCTTGAAATAACGGTCGTTAAACTGACGATTAAAATGTTATCTAAATATTGTACGTTTAATATAGAGAAGTTAATATTACTTATTTTTTGTTTGCTTTCAGTATGGCAGAGCTCCAATGCATTGGGCCGCTTCTCGTGGAAATCTGGAGATCATGGAGATGCTCATCGCGGCTAATTGTGATATAGAAGCCAGAGATAAGGTAATTTATAAAAATTATTCTTAATTTCAAATTTACAATTTTTTTAAACTTCATTTTTTTTCTGAACTTTAACGTCTTATAGCAAATCAACAGAACGTACCACACATTTGGAAGTAGGCTCTTTTTAAACTGCATAATTTTATCTTTAATTTCCATATTCATTTATTTAATTAGCATACGTGATCATTGAGTAATCAAATAAAATGTCTTCACCAAGTTTTTTTGCTCAACTTTAACATCTTATAGGAAACCAACATTTGGAACATACATTTGGAAATAAGCTCATTTTAAAGTACATAGTTTTATCTTTAATTATCATATTTACTTATTTCATTAGCATACGTGATCATTGAGTAATCAAATAAAATGTCTTGACCAAATCTTTATCAAACTTCAATTTTTTTCTGAACTTTAACGTCTTACAACAAACTAACAGAACTTACCATACATTTGACAGTAGGCTCATTTTAAAGGTCACACTTTTACCTTTATTTCGTATATTCAATTACCAATTTAACTTATATAGTTGTTCAGTAATCAAATAAATTACATAAGGCAAATTTTAGTCAATCATAATTTGAATTCTGCAAAAAATCATAAAATTAATTAACTTCATATAATATCCACTTCACGAATGATAATAAAAAAGTGTTAATTCAATATCTGCATAAATTATCATTAAAAAAATGCTCTAAAAGAGACACAAATTGTATAATAATTAACAAAGAAAGAGAAAAAAAAAAACGTTTAATGGAATTGTGTAAAATTGAAAACGAACCGTTTCCAATTAGCGGCACATAATTAAATGCGTATTATATAAACGTCGTTGAACGAACGGCGAAAATTAATTTTCGAGTGCGAAATTGGAATGCCTTCATTACATAAAATCCAATTTGTACAACACAAATCGATCGAAACGAAATCTATTGAAAAAAAAAACGTTTCAACGATTTCGAAATATTGCCCGATAATTGAATACGTTATTTCCCATATTTCATTTCATTCCAATGCAATTTAACAACTCATAACAACTTAGTTTTCATCAAATTTCATCAGATTTGCTGTTGTTTGTTACTTGAAAACTGCATTTTCTTATACATTTATACATTATTAATTGCAAGCATTTAATGTTACGGTTTTTTTTCTTTCATCTTGTACAGAAACAAAACTTTTCTTTTGTTTTGCAATAAGAAAAGAAAGCTTGCTTTTTTTGTTGTTTTTGCCGCGAGGTAATGTTCGGTGTGCAGACGCTTTTGCAAATAGAAATAAATTACACGGAAAGTTCAGGACGCAAATTGGAAGTTAATTAAATTTCGCTTGAGCGACGTCGCAGCTTCTTCCTCGCGCGTGAAAGCCGCATCTCGAGGCAACAATGGTAGGAAGTGTGTGTGTAGCTTGTATAAGTTTCGGTGCAAGACGTTATTTTAATTTGAAAATTTTCAGTTCTAAAGTAGAGGATATTCAACTTCATGTATGAAATTGAAGATAAAACTATGATCTTTCCAATAAGCGTATCTGTAGATTTGTGGGTTGCTCTGGTCGTCTGGTATTAGACATCAAAGTTGATGAAAAAATTGAAGTTTGTTAAAACATGATGGCTTTGTTTATTAAATGACCCAGTAGGCTAATTGAATAATTGAAAATGGAAATTAAAGACAAAACAGTGACGTTTTTAATGAGCCCACTATCAGTTTGATAATCTTCGCCGATTCACTGCAATTAGTCGTCAAAGTTTAGCATGTTTGGAGGTTCATTATTTCGCTTTGCGTTTTGCTATAATCTATGGTACATTAGAGTAATTTGCGTTTTATTTAATTTACGGAAATTGTAATATTATCGATTTCTGATGTTTATTGTAAAAGCAGATGGATTATAGTAGGAATAGCGTGGAGTGAGTGAAGTGCATTAGTCGACGAGCATAATTAAAATAATGGGTTCGGATTAATCGCGGCTTCGGCCTTCGTTACGGCTAATGATAATAAATCCGGTGCCAAAGTGGCCGTAAAGTTAATTCCTATCCTAACGACACTAATCTTTGAGTTTTGTCCCTCGTAAATCCCACGTGCATACACGTTAATCTCTACAAAACACAACCTTTTTACATACATTTTCCTGTGCAAAAGTTCAAAGTTGAAGAAGAATTCAAGTTACTGAAATATTGCAATTACTTTGTTCTATAATGATCATATAACTCAAACATTATTAGATATTTATAAAGGAACAATTTAATATTATTTACGGCGGCAATTACCATTTGTTACACTTATAATAAGCTTCTCGGAAAATTTTTCTTTTTTTTTTCAATTACATCTAAATTGACAAAATCACAGTATTATAGGTACACTCATGATATTCCTCAAATATCTAGCTTTCACATGCATCTTTTGGATCCATTCTACGTATAATAGTTTCGGAGAAAATCAATAAAATGTGAAATCATTTTTCAAATTTGAATTACAGCCAAATGGATGAAACCACATCAATGTATGAATACTTTCTAAATTTCCCAAACATCCAGCTTTCACATGCATATTTTGGATCCATTCTATGTATTATAGTTTCGGAGAAAATGATTAAATGTGAAATCACTGCTTTTTCGAATGTCAATTTTTCAAATTTGAATTACAGCCAAATGGATGAAACCACAGAAATGTATGAATACTTTCTACATTCCCCAAACATCCAACTTTCATATGCGTCTTTTGGGTTTGTTCAATCTATTATAGTTTCTGAGAAAATCACTAAAATGTGAGATTAAAGAAGAAACTATGAAGCCGTTTCTAATGAATCTACTAATTTTATTGTAATATTTACTAATTTGTTGTAACTTTGGTTTTCATTTTAGAATGGAATGCGACCGCTTCTGATGGCCGCGACCCACGGACATCGGGACGCCGTCGAACTCTTAATTAACACCGGAGCTTGCACAAAGGCTACCAGCAAGGTGAGCAAACATCCTAGACTTTTCATTAATTCACAGGCTACAGCAAACACACAACCTACATGTATCATCATCATCGCCATCATCATAATCATCTGGTCCGTGCATTCACGACACGACAAACACGTGTATTTAATTAAAAAATTGTAATTTAAAAACAACAGCGCGCACACGTAAATATGCATTACAATAGTTTATTACAAGCATTCCGTGAAATATAACGGAATGTTTATTGTTGCTGTAGCAATTGAAAAATAACAGTTCGTTTATTGTTTGCCAACGTAAAACAATAACTAAATTAAAATCACTAATTTTATACTGGTGAAAGCGCTGAAGTAATATTTTTGTTGTTGTCACATTGGAAAAAAGTAACTAAACTTAACCAACTTAAAATAATAATTACATAAAAAAATCACTAACCAAGAAAAAAATTAACACAAAAAGATGACAGATGACAGATAAGTCAAAATATTGCGTTGTTTTTGTTTTTTTTCAGTCGCGATTCGTTTATTTATTTGTGTTTTGTTATTGTGAAAATTTGTTGTTTGTTTTCTTCTTCTTTTTTTTTTTGGCGTTGCGTCGCGACGTCGGGTCCAAAAACAAACAATATTTTTACCACTTTTTATTTTTTTTGAAGAAGATGTGGAACGAAAAGGATGGATGAAATGTGAACGACTGATGGAGATGGGAAATGTGCGAAAGGTCGCTGTTTAGTCTGGTATTTATGATGAAACAATATTTGCCTCGTATTTTTCTGCCGTTCTGTTTAGCATAACGGATGCTAGATTTCTCGCGGTCGGGCTGCGATCTGTATCTCTCGATTCTCTAGTTCGTGCAAACATTTTGTTTTCATTCTCTTTTGTTTTGCCATTGTTTCATTGTTTTTTTGCTGGAAGCTTCGGTGAGTTACGTATTTCATGTTTTCAAAAGCTCTAGATTATTTAATGAAAATATTTACTTCAATATTTTCATTACCTTAAACAGAAAATTAACAAATTCAAAGTATACCTAACCTAAATTATGTCCATTTCTATCGTTTAGTTAAATAGTGAAGTACCTGTAAATCTAATTCTAAGCTAATTAAACTTAATTTAATCAAATTCAATCACAACATTGCTTTTCCTAAACTAACAAAATTTTCTTCCATCCTGACCTATCCTAACATAATCTCAAATTACATAACTAAACGTAACCTAAGCTATCCTAGCATATTCACAGATCATAACTTAACCTAACCTCACATTATCAATTCTAAGGTAACCTAACCTATCCTAACATAATCCCATATCATATATCCAAACGTAACCTAACATATCCTGACATATTCACACACTTTATAAAGGCCTAACCTATCCTAGCATAATCATCATATGTTATAACGAAACGTGACCTAACCTCTCCTGACATAATACAACGTAACATAACCTACTACATTTTGATCAGAACATAACCCAACCTAAATTATGTCAATTTCTATCTTTTAGTTATATTGTGAAGTACCTCTAAATCTAATTCTAACCTAATTAAACTTACTTTAATCAAATTCAATCACAACGTTGCTTTTCCTAAACTAATCTAATTTTCATCCATCCTGACCTATCCTAACATAATCTCATTATATAACTAAACGTAACCTAACCTCTCCTTTCATAACCACACATTATCAATTATAAGGTAACATAACCTATCCTAACATAACATAATCCCATATCATATATCCAAACGTAACCTAACATATCCTGACATATTCACACACTTTATAAAGGCCTAACCTATCCTAGCATAATCATCATATGTTATAACGAAACGTGACCTAACCTCTCCTGACATAATCACAACGTAATAACTTACTACATTTTGATCAGAACATAACCTAACCTAGATTATGTCAATTTCTATCTTTTAGTTATATTGTGAAGTACCTCTAAATCTAATTCTAACCTAACTAAACTTACTTTAATCAAATTCAATTACAACGTTGCTTTTCCTAAACTAACAAAATTTTCTTCCATCCTGACTTATCCTAACATAATCTCATATGATATAACCAAACGTAACCTAACCTATCCTAACATAATTACATATCATATATCCAAACGTAACCTAACATATTCTGACATATTCACACACTTTATAAAGGCCTAACCTATCCTAGCATAATCATCATATGTTATAACGAAACGTGACCTAACCTCTCCTGACATAATCACAACGTAATAACCTACTACATTTTGATCAGAACATAACCTAACCTAAATTATGTCAATTTCTATCTTTTAGTTATATTGTGAAGTACCTCTAAATCTAATTATAACCTAACTAAACTTACCTTAATCAAATTCAATCACAACGTTGTTTTTCCTAAACTAACCTAATTTTCTTCCATCCTGACCTATCCTAACATAATCTCATATGATATAACCAAACGTAACCTAACATATCCTAACATATTCATAACCACACATTATCAATTCTAAGGTAACCTAACCTATCCTAACATAATTTCATATCATATAACCAAACGTAACCTAACATATCCTGAAATATTCATACACTTTATAAAGACCTAACCTATCCTAACGTAATCAACATATGTTATAACGAAACGTGACCTTACCTCTCCTGACATAATCACAACGTAACATAACCTCCTACATTTTGATTATAACATAACCTTTCTTTTCATAACCGCACATTATCAAGTCTAACGTAACCTCATATAATATAACCTAACCAAACATAATCACCCTAACCTAATACAGAACGTAATCTAACCTATCCTAATCCATGCAATATCTTTAAAAATGTAAACTAAAGTATTTCACATCATCTTTTTTAAGTTGATTTTCTCAATGTTTTAATTCTTAAAATAAATACTCGATGTTTTGATTTATTTATTTTCGATCCGCATCGGTTTCCTGCATCATTAAAATCCTCATTTATCGTAGCCAGCGGCGGAACTTCCGGACTTTTCCCCAGTTTGTTTTCCGATGTTCATTTTCTGTTTTCCACTTCGAGCGAATCCGGAAAGGAAACTAGAGTATAGATAGCGTTCTTCCCTCTCAAAGGGGTTGATAAAAAAAAGTTAAAAAAAAACCGGAACTGCTTAACGCGATGGAACAAAATACGCTCTTTCTTGATCATTTAGTAAGCGTTTTCGGTGATATTAATTATTTATTTTTTGTGTTTTTTGTTCGTTTTCCATCTGAGTCGTGTTTTCCTTTTTTATTATTTACGAGCTGCATGAAAGTGGTTCGGTGTGTATATAGGTGTGTATTGATTGGAAAACGAGCCCTGTGGAGGTTAGGTTGGTGGTTCGACCAAAAGGGCCGTTTTCTCTCCTCTTTGCTGCGTTCAAACTCCCTTTGTGTATTTAATTATAGAGCGGACATTCGACAAATAACGAAAACGTAATTGTTTGTTTTGTGTCGTGTTACATCACTAAAAGGACTTCTCATTCGCTTCATACGATAATATATTTTATTTTCGACAAAATCAATTTCGTAAAAGTAATTACATTTTTTTACTGTATTCACCTCATTATGAGTTGCTTTTAAAAGTTTTTTTTAAATATTTATGAAAAAAATCAATTATTTTATTTATTCTGCTTTCATAAATTCAATCGGATTAAAAAAAATTCGCTAAATTAATTCCCGATTCGCAGTTCATTGAATTCACTAGAAGGCTATGTTAGTTTGAAACAAAAAATTCAATTGTTTCCAGCGTTTCATTAGTTGATTTTTGAAACTAACTTTTTTTTTGAACTAATAATGAAGTAGTTCAAAAGTATGTATTTATTTTTTATAAATTTTGTAATAAGAAACTGTATCATGTATATTTATTACGTATTGTTGTTGTTTACAGAAACAACACACGATCTTGATATGTGCCGCTAAGAACAACAGACAGTGCGTAATAGATTTCCTTCTGCAAACGCTGGAGGATATTGACATTGATGCTTCCGACTTTGAAGGACAGACGGCGCTTTTTCACGCAGCAATGGAAGGACACGCGGTCGTCGTGAGAAAGCTCGTCGAGAACGGAGCTTCTTTGGATAAGAGGAACAAGGTATGCAATGAAACGTTCATCAATTATAACACTGTTACATAATTCACTCAGTCAAGTTACTAAATACAGTGAATGTTTTTATTTAAGTTGGTTATATGTTTACACAACTGCTTCTTCGGTTTAAATAAAGTACATAAACTTCAAAAACAGCTGTTACTTTAGTTGAACAGCTGTCATTTGATTGCATAATTACCAACTTTTACATCTCCTAGTCTGAGGTCGCTTTAAATTGGTGCTATTAACAAAAAATCATATTAAAAAGTCGCGCCAAATTTGAAATTGTTTCTCTTCATCAATTAAATACTGATATATAATGGTGCAATTAATTCATTCGTGAAAGTTACTAAATGTAATGAATATATTATACAAGTTGGTAGCATGTCTTAATAGCTGCTTCTACTATTAAGATGGAGAACATAACCTTAAAAACTTCAAAAGTAGATATTACTTCAGTTTAACTGTCATATGATTGCGTAATTACCAACTTCAAAATTTTAATTACGTGAGGACATTTTTGACAAAAATGAATTTTAGAAATTTTAGATTAATATTAGTAATGAATAATCTATTGTTTCTTAAAGTAAATTAGTTTTAAGACGATTTTCTTTACATGTAAATATGACATTTGAATCGCCATCTATGGGTTATTATGAAACTACATCATCTTAAATTTTCTATTATTATCTGATTACAATATGATTGTCATTACATCCAATCCAAAATCAGTTCCTTTTTTTGTTCTTACGTTTCTTGAATTTACTGTTTTTGACATCTGTCACATTTTTGACACATTTCATTACAAAATTTTGTTTTAGTTCTTAAAAACTATTATTTCCATTTAACATAAAGTACACTTATTTTATATTCAGTCATAATTGATTACTTGTTATTTCTCTCCTATATAATTATGCAAGTACATAGATATTTCGTGCGGGCAATTAATGAAATGTTTGCGCTTAGGTAAAAATAAAAAGTGATAATAAAATGTTTCGTTTTATTTTCACTTTATATTTTAATTTCACTTCTATTTTTACTAGACGACATGCGATCCGCGTTTGATAACAAAAGACAACAACGTACGATTATCAAATAAAACTCGTTACGTAATTACCCTGGAGATAGTGTCTATATTTTGCCGTTACCATCAGTTTTTCTTTTGTTTCAATCTACTTAGTTACCAACTTAAATTTAGAAGACAAAAAATATAGAGAAAATTATTAATATTTACGAATTAATAAACTTTACTTTTCAATTTAGTAATTCAATTTTATAAATTTTTAATTGTTTGTTAACTAAAATTGTAATTCATCAAATTCAAATGGTCATATTTAATTTAATAAAAAATAGTGAAGAAAAAACACGTCTAAACGTTTTAAATTAATGAGCAAATAAGAATAATAAATGAAATTATAAGTTTCTGGTGGGAAAAAACGCCATCTGTTCGATACCGAAAATAACACGACTCGCGTATCCTATCATTACACTCATTTGTTTCATCGCTATTATCTTCTGTTGTTTCTTTTTAATTCTTCGATCGGGAAAGGTTGACCCGTGCATCGAATTACAGACAAATACACACGTATCCGTCCGATTTATCGTTCGTAATAAGTTAGCGTTGGAAACGGACGGACGCAAACATCGTTAATGCCACACGTTACGTAATCGATTCCCTTTTGCATCGAACAAAAAACATCTATTTCCTTTTCTGTATCATCGATTTTCCGCCCCACAAATTCTGACACTTGACGTCTGACAGATAATATAATAAGAGACCCACTTTGATCGTCGATAAATAAACGTTATTACATTATTTTATTACTCTTTTGTTACTGCTATAACTGTAACCTTTGATATCCATATGTTTTATATGATAACCAATATTATACAAAAAAGGTTAATAGTTGACGAACAGTGTTGACTTTGTAGCGACGTCTTGATTATCTGACATAAAGGCTCATACAAATTGCTTTATTAAGCTTTGTACGTGTAATTTCAGCTAATTTCATAATATTTACACGATATTCTTTTATAAAATTCAATTAATTTCAAATATTCATATAAAACTTAGTGTTTCCACCATAATTTTCTACCATTTCTTTCTAGTGGAATCGCGGGGTAATTCTATAATATTTTCGTGTTTTCGTTTGACGAAATGCAATAAATTTGTAATTCTTATCAATTATCAACATAAAACTTAATTTTATACAAGTTAATTCAATTTTAACCACTCGATTATTGATATTTTTACTGCTGTAAAATGAAGAAAAAAAATCGATTGGAAATAATGATGTTACTGCTTTATTTTATTCATCGATTCACATAATGGAATGATGGAATTAGTGATTTTAACGAGGTAAAAGGAAAGAAAAGTTGTGTTTCTATTTATATTTAATGGATTTGATTTTAACGATTGTACATTTTTATTTAAGGTGAACAGCAAATTAGTTTGTTGTTTGTTGTTCATTTTGTGGTGAAAAGTGGGTCAACTTTGTGTTATTAAGTGCGCCCGTCCAATTGTCATGCAGACTCGATGATTTATCGACGGAAGCTTTGAAGTTGGATGCAGGCCTCGAACGTATAAATCAAGCACTCGGTAATTAGTTCGTTTGACTGAGTCATATTTACTGCGCGGAGAGTTCATTTTCCATCGCCTTTCATCCATTAAAGAACGCTGGGTCAACGTTTACGTTTTGCACATCGATTATGATATACTCAATCTACTTACTTAATTACTCACTGTTTTCTAACGTGTTTCATTATCAGTTTATCTTAAGAATTTATTAATAGAAAGAAAAAAAAACATAGAAATTTAGTCAATCAAATTAATTAATTCCTTTTTAGTATCAACAAAAAACAAAAGATGTTTAAGTTTGAATTTGTAGATAATTGCATCTGGAGTTCCCCAAGGTTATGTTTTAGGTCTTATATGAATAAATCTAATAATTTTTTTAATAGTTACAATATTGTTGCAATTTTTATGTAATTTATATAACAAAATATGAAAAAAAAAAACAAAATTCTATATAGAGTTCCTCAAGGATACGTTTTAGGTCTGAATAAAAAACAAAATACTAAAAATTTTATAAAATATATTTACATAAAGAAATTATGAAAAAAAAAGGAAATTGTTTACTAATAGTATCTGGAGTTCCCCATGGTTATGTTTTAGGTCTTATATGAATAAATCTAATAATTTTTTTAATAGTTACAATATTGTTGCAATTTTTATGTAATTTATTTAAAAAAATATGAAAAAAAAATACTAATAGTATCTGGAGTTCCTCAAGGTAATGTTTTAGGTTATAGTTGTTTTGGAAATTGAAAAATGTAAACAATGAACGTATGGAAGTTGAATGTTGTACTAAAACAAAGAGAGAACGTTCTTGATGGAGAAGGCGGAAGTAAATTCGAAAAAAAAACTGGCGGGCTTTTTAAATAATTCATTTGAGCCTCGCTGAATATTCAAGACTCACAGCCATCGTGGATATGATCATCAAGACCGCACGACTGGATTATCCTCAGCAAGTAATTATAATTACCGCAATCATTATCTGTTTCTGTCACATACATTTATTCAGCGAAAATTTACTATGCACAAATATAATATGACAGCTGTCACATTGTGTTAAAACGTCAAAAAATATAAACAATTGGGTTGCAGTAGTAAACAAATATGTTGAGAAACACTGGTATATTGTATAGTGTTTATAAGTAGCGTTGCTTCTCAATCATTGATCAAATTGCTGAAAGTATATCACCAGTTTGGAGTTCCTCAAGGATACGTTTTAGGTCTGAATAGAAAACAAAATATTAAAAAATTTACAAAATATATTTACATAAAGAAAGTA